GCGGCCGGACGGCTGGAGAAATGGCTTCCCTTGGTGGCCGCCCGCACGCGCGGTGGGGCTTTATCGGCTTTGGAGCGCGTCTGCTCGAGGACCCGCGGGCCCGCGCCCCTCAGCAGGTCTGGGATCGGGCCTTCTGCCGGGAGAAACGGCGCGCTGCGGGAACCCCAGGTGTGCCTTGGAGGCCGCCGGTTGCCACGTCCCTGTGCGATCTAGTGATTTCACTGTCTGGGTGGATCGTTTTGCAGACTGCTTCCCGGGCAGAGAAATGCCCCCGTCACACCAGCGCGGAGGGCTTGTAAATGCACGCCGATTTTTGTCAAGTGAGACATTAAAAAAATTTAAAATGTCTCTGATGTTTAGAACCGATTTCTGGCCCTTTTGGAAAATTTTTTCAGCGAAGCAATGCGCTGCTGCTTTAAAGCCCTTTTTATTACACATTTGCGCTGGCTCGTGAGTGCTCTACAAGATTATTTATTTTACTTTCAAAACTCTTTACATCAAATCTATACTCCCGGAAAACTTAAAAGATCCACGTTTTTAGAAAAATGTTTTTTATTCCGTAGGTTAACATACTTTTAGCAATAGCATTTCAGTTTTAAAAACTCCATTTTCTCATGAATTACTACTAATAATTCATCCGCATGAAACAGCTAATAACTTGAACCTACTCCTCAGTGATAGTTAACAAGTGTGTCTTATATTAATATATTTCAGTTCAAAGCTAGAAAAAATACCTAGGCATGGCTGTGGAGGAACTTCAATCCATAATAAAGAGATGTGTAAGTAGTTTTGTTTTCTTTTTGTAAGTTAAATACCTTTTCAAATATGGAAGGATACAGATATTTTTAATTACACTTCCCTTCACTCAAAATGTTTTTTTTAAATCCTTGGTTTTTATGATCTGTGAATAAATAGCATGAGTGCAAGAAAACAGATTGGGTTATTTTTCCAAGTGACACACTTGTCTAAATAACCTTTGACATTTTAATACTGATACTTAGTATAGATTTCTTTAGCACAATGGATTTCTAGCTCTTTTATTAAAGTATTAACAAGATTAATCCTAATTCTCACATATATGCTTACATACAGTTTATCTAGAATTTAAACACTTTCTCTGTTTTTCAGAGATAAAATAAATTTTTATTTTCCTAAGCATTTGTTTTGTGTGTATGTTCTTATTTTTGTTTGTTTCTGCCAGCAAATACTAGAAGAACAAGACTTTAAAGAAGAAGATTTTGGCCTATTTCAGTTAGCAGGCCAAAAATGCATAGATGAAGGGCATGTTGACCAGCTAATAGAAATTATTCAAAATGAACAAAATAAGGTAAGTACAACCTGTGTGTATACTTTTCAGTTTGTCTTAGGAAGAGAATAACTGCTATGCTATTCACTCATTTATTCATTAAAACATCTAGTGATCAACTTAAATTTCCACCCTAGTAAATTGTAGAATACAAAAAAGAATAGGAATAATCACTTACATACTTTTTTTTTTTTAAAGATTTATTTATTTATTCATACAGAACTGGGGTACAGGCCAGAGATGCGGAGGGTGAGAGGATTCACCAGAGACAGAGTGGGGAGCAGAACAGGCAGATCGACGAAGTACACTGCTGAGGGAAGCAGCGGGCAGAGAGGTCTGCCACGCCATGTGGTCACCTCTGGGGCAGGCGGGGATCGAACTCATGCGGAAGTGGCTTTGACTTCTTAGTGCTGTGTTTTAACCCGCTGCGCCACCAGGGAGGGCCTACATACTTTTTTTTAAAAAGTTATTTATGCATACAAGAACTCAGGTACAGGCTAGAGATGTGGGGAAGGGGAGTGAGGACTCACCAAAGACAAATTGGGGCACAGAACAGGCAGACTGACTAAATACACTGCTGAAGGGAACAGTGGGCAGCACAGGAGAGGTCTGTTGAACCATGTGAGGCCCCTCCCTGGCTGGGGATTGAACTCATGCTGTAGTGGCTGCAGATAGCTTCATAGTGCTGCAGTCTAACCCCTTGAACCACCAAGGAGGAATAATCGTGTATATATTTTAAGGGGCTTATGATGGATAAGAAACTTCTAAATAACTAGCAATAAGGAGGAAGAGTAAGTTAAGTAAGTGCTATAGTTAAAGTTCATTAGAAGAGCTGATTGTTTCTGGTTAGGGATCAATAGTTGCATTTAAATCATTACTTTTCACTGAGAAATAACGCCATCAGGTAAGCTAGATACGTTGGTAATTAACACATTCTCTTCCTCCAGCCAGATATTTATTGAAAATTATTATTAAGTGAAACAGTATAATATGTGCATGAATTCAGAAATGGGGGGGTGTGTGAGATGGATGTTTTTACTTGCCAGTGTCATAGTCTGAGAAATCATTCTCTATAATGGGAAACCACCTCTTTGGACCCAGGAACATCTTTTTCCTAGCAGTGTTAGTAACACTGTCAAATTTTGTGGTTTGGACTCACCTTATATGAAAGAAGATATTTTTCAGGAACACATTATTTATAGTTTTGATTTATACAGAAATTTTCTTTGTGATAGCATAATTTAGTCATGCAGGGCAACTTGATTGTATAAGAATCCTAAAACTTTAAAGTCACTCATTGTTGGAGAACTTCTTAGGCAATAGTTCAAAGGTTTATCCTTTTTTATTTTAAAAAAAATTTATTTATTTATTTTTTAAAAATGTATTTATTTGTGTATACAGAACTGGGGTACAGGCCAGAAGCTCAGGGATGGCGAGAGGCTTCACCAGAGACAGAGCGGGGAGCAGAATAGGCAGATCGACGAAGTACACTGCTGAGGGGAGCAGCGGGTGGGTCAGAGAGGTCTGCTATGCCATGTGGGTCACCTCCATGGCTGGGATCGAATTCATGCTGCAGTGGCTTTGGAGAGCTTCATAATGTGATGCTTTAACCTGTTGTGCCACCAGGGAGAGCCTTTAACCTGTAAGGGTACTTCTAACTAATACTACAACTAATAATAGTTAAATATTAAGTATTTACTGTGAGCTGAATGCTGTCTTAAATGCCTTGTATCTGCCAACTTATTTAGCCTCCCCAGTACCCATAAAATAGGTACAGCTGATGGAAAAGGCTAAAAGTAGAAAATTTGGGAAAGAGGCATCTCAAGACCAGAAGTTGGAGGTAGGGGTAGAAATAAACATAGTCATTAAATAAGGTATACAAAAATAAAGTATCCTGAGGCTCAAACTCAGGTCCAGACCAAGACTGGAGGTGGGGACTTGGAGATTGAGTGCCATTGGAAAAAAAAAAAAACACTGTTCCTTTCAAATCACTATGTATAGAAAAACATCCATAGGCACTCACGCTAGAAGTAATCAAACAGCAGCAAACTGTCCTACAAAGGAACAAGCCCCTCCCAAAAAGAAGATGATTCTCTGCACTTTCTACACTGGCAAGGGGGCTGTGCTCCTCTTCACCAACCTTGCTTTACCAAGCAGCAAAGGAAGCTCTCCTCCCAATGCTGCCCCCTGTGATTATGCAGGCAGCTTTTCTATCCACGTGTCTGTGCAAGCATCCTTTTCTTCCCTCCTGTATAATAAACCTGCCCTTTTGGATATAACTCTTATAAATGTGTCTGCTTCGTGGGAATCTCAGCATGTACCACTTAAAGGGGAGCTTTGAAAGTTCTTAGAGGTTTACCCAAGAATACCACTCTGAACCCAGCCCCCTCCAAGCCAACAGTACAACTATTGAATTTACTTTGTAAATAAGGAAATAGTTACTGAAAAGTAAGTAACTTGCATAGAAGTACTTTTATCTGATTCAGACCTGTTCACCTGGTATCAGAGATCTAACCTACTCATCTCTGCTTCTGGTTAGCACCTGTTCTCTACTACTTAGAGGAAACTGATTGATTATGGGAGAGTGAGAGAAAGTAAGGCATCACAGTCATCCTCTGACAGGATAATCTGCCCTAAAAAGAAAGCGCACCTTAAGTGGAGAAGATAGTTTGCTATAGGAGAATATGTTTACTTTTAAGATGCAGCTGACAATTGAAAAGTAGTGTTTGTCGCTCAGCAGAGAAATAGATTAAGATGTAGATTTGTGTGTGACAGATTAGGTGATTAAACACAGTGAGGCTTGATTTTGATTTGACTTTTATTATTTCTTGTCTTCTGCTGGCTTTTGGGTTATTTTTTTGTTCTTTTCCCAATTCTTTAAGGTGGGACATTAGGTTGTTTCTTTCAGCTATT